CTCAACTGGTTTACATCCTGTCCCCTCTGCCGTCCAACCACAGCGCTCTAGCAGAAATAAATAATATGTTCTTCAATTTTGTATGGGATGGCAAGGGAGACAAGGTAAAGCACGACATAATGATCAACGACTACAAGAACGGAGGGTTGAGGATGATTGATATCAAAATTTTCAACAAAGCTCTTAAATCAAGTTGGGTAAAAAAATATCTAGATCCGGAAAATCAAGGAAAATGGAAACTTTTGTTTGACTATGAATTACAAAATCTAGGTGGTGTCGAATTTTTTCGTACCAACCTTAATAAACAAGATCTGTTAAAAAATATAAAAACTGCAGAGACCTTTACTTCAGAAATACTCCACATCTGGTCAGAAATCTCACTTGAAACTAATGTCTCCTCCATTGATCAGCTAAAGGCGCAAAGTCTATGGCATAACTCTCTTATACGTGTCGGTAACAAACCTGTATACTATCGTTCATGGTCTGTAAAGGGAGTTAAAACAGTGGGCCATTTGATGAATGATGCGAATAGTTTCCTATCTTTCTCTGATTTTAAAGAGCTTTACGACATTAAAACAAACTTCCTTACTTTTCAAGGCATCTTATCAGCTGTTAAGGCCTTACAAAAAAGTAATGAAGCTAACTTCAACAGCTGTAATACTGCATACGAAACAACCTTCGACACCTTCCTAAAGACGACAAAACCAAAACGACTAACATATAAAATTCTGACGAGCAACAGAACGCATGCTCGAAACACCAGATAATGTCGACTGGAAGGCAGTTTACAGAACTCCTTTTCTATGCACAAAAATCACAAAATTGATTGTTTTTCAATTTAAGCTACTGCACAGAAGACTAGCCACCAACATTTTTCTTACCAAGGTAAACCTCAGGGACAATTAGCTGTGCACTTTTTGTAAAAGTGATAAAGAGACTCTCATCCACCTATTTTGGACTTGTGATATATCCAACCGTTTCTGGCAAGGTCTTAAACAATGGACAATTAACCTTGGAGAACCTTTCGTGGAAATTTTCAATCTATCGCCATTTATAGTACTAGGGCTTAAGCCACACAAAAACAAGAAACTAAACTTCCTTTTTTTGGTCGCTAGATATTTTGTATGGATATGCAGAATGCGCAACATCTCTCCGGAAATAAAAACTTCCCCCTCTTCTTCTAACATTATAATGCAGAAATCATTATTATAAAGAAAAACCATGCTTAAAACATGCACAACACGCATTTACTTAGTGTTTTCTTTAATTCTGTTTACATATAATTTGATGTTTGTATCCTTTTTTCCTGCACTTTTTTGTTTTCTTTTAAACTACCTTCTTTTCTATAAATTGTGAGTAGTGCACTCTGGCTGTAAACGTTTTTTTGTTTTTTTCTTTTCTTTTCTTTTAATATATAGTTATTTGTTTAGTCGCTCTTCAACCAGTATTGTTTTAAATATTGTATTGCACTGTAACGTACGTATTTGTAAAAAACAAAAAACGTAAGTAATGTAGCTATAGATGTAACTGTACTGTAAGTTATTTTCCGTAGCCGTGATGTAAGTAATATAGCTGTAATTAAAGTAATATAGTTGTTTTTGTATTAAAAAATAAATAAAAAATAAATAAAAAATAAATAAAAAATAAATAAAAAATAAATAAAAAATAAATAAAAAATAAATAAAAAATAAATGAAAAATAAATAAAAAATAAATAAAAAATAAATAAATAATAAATAATAAATAAATAAAAAATAAATAAAAAATAAATAAAAATATTGTGACAGTCAGATTTAAAAAAAAAATCTTTACCCCGATTTTCCATTTTTTTCAACAAGTTCTAGAAAAACAGGGTAAAATCTAAGAATTCATCCTCCAAATTGAATAGATCCCAAGTTGCCATATCCAATCTTCAACCCGATTCTTCATTTTTTTTCAATGAATTCTAGAGAAACGGGATTAATTCTGCGAATTCATCGGCAAGTGGCTAACACGTTAAGTTCTCATATGCCATCTTTACCCCGATTTACCATTTGATCGGTGAATTCGAGAAAAACGGGGTAAATTCTGAGCATTCATGTTACAAGTGAATAATACCCGAAGTTCCCATATGCTATCTTTACCCCGAATTTCCATTTTTTTTTTCAGTGAATTTGGCAAAAAACGGGGTAAAATCTGAGAATTCATCCTCCAAATAAAAAGGATCCCAAGTTACCATATCCAATCTTTAACCGATTTTCCATTTTTTTCAACGAATTCTAGAAAAACGGGATAAATTCTACGAATTCATCCGCAAGTGGCCAACACGCTAAGTTCCCATGTACCATCTTTACTCAGATTTTCCATTTGATCAGCGAATTCTAGAAAAACGGGGTAAATTCTGTGAAATTCATTCTTTAGGTGGAATATATCCTACTGACTTGCCATAGCCAACTTTACCCCGATTTTCGATTGGATCATTGTGTGAATTTGTCATAAACGGGGTAAATTATGACAAATCCACCCAAACGTGCAATAAATCCAACAATGATCTAGAAACAGTACTAAAAAAAGAACAGCTAAAATCAGCGGGACCGCAATAAAATCGCATCACAATCTACTACTTCAAATTTTTACGGAGGGCTTAGTGCAATACAGCAAAAACCTTCAATATTCAAAATAAACGACCAAAGGCCAAACTTCTGTGATTCAAGGAAGACTTCGTGATGCGACGCAGACAAATTATCACAACTTTGACCTCTCAGTCGATCTCACCTCCGGCAGATCAGCGAAGCGTCAAAAATATATAATTTCATGCCGACGAACCATAATCTATGATCTTCAACTATTAAACAAAATAAAACAATTGTGATATGACGCCGCATAGTGCCTTTGTCTTAGCTTGTGTGTAAAATGTTGTCAATGGAGTCGCAAGTCGAACAACGAGGACAGTAAATAAAGCAAGACTGCAAATAAAGCGTGAACAATAACGCATGTTTTGGTCGAAAGTCGCTTTGTTATTTACGTAGCAAGTTATTCTTCCACGTTTAGGCTATAACAACGATGCGATCACACGGCGCTAACGAAGGAACGATAGAACTTCAAAGAAAATAATGTGAGAGGCCAATGATCCGGTTCGCAGTGATCATGCAAACAGCATGTTTTCCTGAGATCAGTTACCGGAAAATACTGGTCAAATTTTCCACTTATCCCGACCCCCTCGAATAAGTACTTTTGCTTGAAGACATAACTACAACGGAGTCTCAGATCGATAGATCACAGGATATGATTGGCCACTCTATCACATTACGTCAGAGGACATATCTGCAATGAGAAGACATAAGTGCAACGGTACATCCCCACGTCCCAGTCCTACTTTTGTACCGTTGCCTCCTCCATTGCTAAAATGCTGTAGTCACCATCAAGATCCTGCATAGGCTCTAAGGGTACAGAAATTCCACAGCCAACTTCACAAACCTGTTTTAACCAAATGTCTGCTGCCAAATCTAGGTCAAACAAATTGAACATAGTAAGGTCCTTTCCTGGAAAAACCTATTGCATTATTCATTGCACAAAGTCCACAGAATGAGCTGTACCCTTGAACTTGCATACACTCCTGACTGCCATTGTTGCTACTTAGGCGCACTTGGCTCTGTACATCTTTATTTGCATGCTTGTCAATATCTTTAAAAAGTACCTCAAGTTACTTCTTTCTGTGGCATTATCTTGAGAAGGATTTATGGCTGCAAAAAACCCTTCAAGGGCATTACAAACTTGACCAGTTCACTGCAATAAGAATCAATGTTCTCTAGATGTTGCTGACACTTGTCCTTCAACTCAGCTAGCTTCCATAGCATTCCTTGATTGCTTCCTGGCATGAACAGCAATGATGTGGATGGCTCACCAAGGGTGACTTCATGGGTTTTCAGACTTCCTTGGGGTGTACTGCATCTGTTGGATCCAACATCAACATTTACATCATTTGTATGGTCAAGCAGATCATCCTTATTGAACACTGGCTCATCAACACCGACTTGGGTGCTGGGTCTTTTGATACTGTCTTTATCATGGCATGAAGTACTAGCCTCAGTTGTACGGCTACTTAACAGAGGGGTTTCCTTTGGAGCTGTCTGAGATGTTTTCATTATACTATCATCAGATGGTACAATGCAACCATCTATTGTTACACAGAAGAGCCCACAGTTAACAGCCATCTGAAGCACTAGATTCTGGCAGCAGGGATGAAAGCATGGAGTTTCTTTTTGCTCTCCAACGCATGACAAGCAGTCAGAGTGTTCCTCGTAACTGGTGAGATGACTTAGAATTGACTTTCCCAGGTTTTGCTTTCTGTCTCTCTCCCAAAAGATTGTACCATAGAGAAAGTACTGAAAACCCGAAGCCTGTAAAGTTTGAAGGCCAGTTACAAACTTCTGGTGAAACACAGCTTCTTCTTCCTCTCTGTCAGAAAACGACGATACCATGGAAAGGAGTCCATAATCCAGAACCTGACAATAACTCTTCAACAAATCATCAATACTTCTATGGTGAGCCACTTTCCTCAACCTTAGACTTCGATTATACATCTCCTTACGCACAGTTAGGCCAAACTCTGAAATGAAATTGTGCATATTCAGCAAAGATAACTTGGGGGGTGTTTCATAAAGGGGAAGTTCACACTGCTTTTCCTTGAACAAAACCATCTGGCCACCAAAAAATGGATTTAACTACTAATTGCTCTCCACATTCTATCTCCACCTTGAACATTCCTCCAGGACGCACCTCTTTGATGACCCCCAGAACATTCAAGGGCTGAAAGGGGTCCGGCTTTGAACAACACAACCCTTCTGAACGTGGATTTTGGAAGAGAACTTCGTCTCCCACCTTAAATTCCCGCTCTTTAGCCCTCTTAAGAGCCCATTTGTGATTCTTTTGAATGGTGTGTTCTGTTGCTTCAAGGACATCCACCATCTTAGATTTGTATTCTTCACTCAAGTTGAAGAGGTATTTCGTGATGCTCTCTACCTAGAATTCTGCCTCTGAATCCACTGATTGAAGTGGGATATTGCTGGGACTGTGAGAAGGTGGAGAATGTGAATTTCCTTGCACCATCTTTTTAACAGCTGCTGACAGCTGCTTTGCTGAAACACCCAATGAGAACAATAATATGGTCTCAGAAGAAATTTGCAGGATGGCCGCTGTTATCTCTTCCAATTTAGATTTATCCATGGAAATGCTTTCCCCATGTCTCTCAAGTTCAATGAAATCTTCTGATGAAAATTCATAATCCTCAAGGCAACCATCTTCAATACTTTCTGTCCACATACTATCATCTGGGATGATGTAGTCCACCAAGCAGGAAGGCTCACGGTTCATATATATTCGAAAAGGCACATCATTAATTGTGCTGTGCCACTTGCAATTCAAAAGGTCTGCAATAGCAGAGAGTAGTAAAGGCCAGACATTGGCCTGAAGATCTCTAGGCAACTGTTGTAAAAACCTTGCAAGTAACCTTTTGACTTGCTTGTTGAGATTTTCTATCTGGCCTTGAGACTGTGGGTGGTGTGGCCTACCATGAACCATGCAAACTGCAAATTCTTTGCAAAGTTTTTGCACTACCTCTCCAATGAATTCACCGCCATTATCTGACTGAATTACAGTAGGTGACCCTTCCTTGATGAACAAGGCCTTCAGAACGGCATACACTTCTTCTGCAGACTTTGTTTTTAACGGGAACAGCCAACAAAACTTCGAGAAACAGCACTTGACTGTTAGAATGTAACGGTAGCTCCAACAATTATTCTGCATAAAACTACGGTGCTTCTTTGGGGCCATGTCAATAAGGTCACACTGTAGTCTGGAATGGGGGCGAAAAGATCTAATGGGGACAGGAGGGGGAAGCACTCGCATTGGCAAGGGGTTGTTGATCTGACATGTTGAGCATCGAGCCAAGAAGGCCCTAATAAGGTTGAAAATACCCTTAAATACATATTTTTGATTGAATAGCCTACTCAAGGCATTCACCCCTCCAGGGAGGCAAGTATCCTCTCCAAGGACACCTTTAATGTAGTGTAAACTGCTTCATACACCATTTACAGCCTCTCTGTAGAGAAGTTGCTTTGTAGTCTTAAGCTCTCCTTGAACATAACTGTTGACCAAAACAACAAGGATGCCATATTTGTCACGTACAATCTTACCTTCTTGGTCAAGTTTTAGTGTGTAGACTGGTCTTTTCAGGCTACGTCGTTCAAAAAATCGTCTTTTATACTGATTAAAGAAAGCATTTAAGTTTTCATTCTTCTCTGAAGAAATACCATCTTTTGGGAAAGATTTATATCCTGGAGTACAATACAAAACTGCCAGTTTTTCATAAAAATATTTCTGGCATCCATTGACGCTACAATCTGCTAAATAAAATATAGTATTTGTGAATAAGTAATAGTTATAGAAGATTGCTACCTTTAACATACGTTTATTGATTAACCCTTTACACCCTAACATCAGACTGAGTATGCATATTCTCCATACTGTTCTCTATACATTTCCTGAAGCCCTGACAAAGAGAGTTTTTATAAAAATGAAGAGCTTTATAAATTGTTGGTCATTTCCTTTATTCTCATGAACTCAATGTTTGATTCAGGGGTGATATTGTAAGGAGAAATTAGAAGCTGGTCACTCTTAGGGGTTAAAGGGTTAAGATTTTTTCCTTCCATAACGGGTAAAACAGATCCTATTTAATGGTTCAGAGATGACCTTTCTACAAGCAACTGGAATTGATGCAATGGAAGATATTACTGCATGCTCAGTATATTGTTGCACAAAAGTATTTAAAAGTTTCCTGTTTCTGAATTTCAGTAGTGGATAACTGTTGTATTCCAGAACTGTTATTTTCCAGCCCCTCTCAGCTGTTCTCAGTTTCTCAGCAGGAGTTAACTATTGTATTCCAGCACTGTTAATTTCCAGCCCCACACAGCTGTTCTCAGTTTATCAGCAGGATTTACTGTTGTATTCCAGCACTGTTAATTTCCAGCTCCACACAGTTGTTCTGAGATTACTAGCAAGGAATAAATATTCTTTTCCAGTACTTACTTGTATTTTCAGTTGCATACTATTCTTCCCACATTTCTTAATAAATGATGTAAATGCGTGACTTTTAAACTTGCGTGACATTTGTGTTACAGTTGGCCTTTGTGCCATTTGATTCCTTCAGATAGTCTTTCTCTCCCGCTTTCACTATTCACTGTACATGTTCGGCATTCATCCAAAGTTAATTTATAAAGTTTGATTTCAAGCCACCGGCGTATAGGGACTGATACGTAAGTTGTTTTCGTTTGTTTTGTTGTTTATCTCGTTTCGAGCAAGCTCTTTCGTCTTTATTTGTATATATATCTTGTGTTTGCCGTAGCTCTTGGTTCATTTATTAGTTCCTTTATTATGTTAGATTCATTTACGCTGTTAATTCGCCACGTGTTTAATTGAATACAATCTATTATATAAGTCCCTTTTTTAATTCGCTTACAGTTTACGAGATTGATTAAAGTTATGTCTCTGTAACATATCTCCTGGTTTGGTTGGCATTTTCTCCGGTCGCGATTTTCTTGGCGCTTCATCGAGCCTTGATGTTCGTTTGCCGCAACAAATGAACCTATATTTAGTGGACACTTCTATATCACAGACACTGGAGAAGGTTCTCAGAGAAGTTACCTTTGATACTTTTATAACTATAAAAGTAATAGCTTTCACTGCAATTTAAAGTGATTTAATTTTTGAAATACAGTTAACTTCTCCACTAACCCCACAACACCTGTGCAAAGCATGTCAATTACAAATAACAAATATGGAGAGTTGCAAATTACTTTCAATACTTTATAGTGCAAGCAATGTATTCCTTACTGTCATTTTTCAGTGTTTTCTTTCCATTTACAGACTCAAGTGGCTGTAATGAAAAAAACAAATTCAAACAATTTTACCTCACTTCTTAAAGCAAGAAATCACAAGACTAAACAACAAGTGTAGAAACTTAGACACACTAAGGCTAAAACTCTGATTCAAAAATAAAAAAATGACCCCCCTGCAAAAAAAAAATTGTACCACTGTCTTTGATACCATCCTGTCACTCTCCTATTTTTTTTTCACTTTTCTTTACTTCTAATTTGTAAACACATATAATGCTTCTTCTCAATGGGAAGTGTCTTCAAGAAAACCCAAATAACGAAACAGTATTGGCAAGAAAGATAGCCAAATGAACAGTGGTATCGAATTAGAGCTTGGAGCAATTAAACGACATGAATGACTGCTATACCCCATTCATTTTTCCCAGGTCTACATGAACTAGATTTTGAGCACAGAATGCAATACCTCACCAAACATCTGCTATGATGACCCACTTAAAAGTGTGCATGATTATCACCTCTTGCTGAGATAGCACACTTCACTTCAATGTTTTTATTACTACACATATGGGGGCTTTGGTAAGATTGTGGAAAGGAGGGACAACGTTTGAGCAGTTGGGAGGGACCAAAATGACAGTGTGGCAGCCATTTATTCCCACTTGGATGGCAAAGTCTGGGGAACCTTCCCCTGGAAATTTAAAAGTTCAGATGTCCAAAAGGGTCCATTTTAGGCCACTATTTCCCAAGTTGGCTAAAAATTATAGCTGCTACGAGGGTGAGTATTGACACTGAATTAATGAATAGAGTACCTTTTATGTAACTAACTATATAAACATTATACATAGCAATGTTGTCTCTGTGATAATGTCTGTGTGGTCTTGTTTGATTTTTTCTTTTGCCTTGCTCAAAAAATGAGATTGTGCTGAGGACGACATTAGATTTTGGGGTACAGTGCTGTGATTTCTAACACAGTATCTTTAATGCAATTACTGATGGCAAAGGAGTTAATTAGTACTTCAATGATAAATGTAGAGCATGGCAATTAATGAAACGATCAATGTCTAATCATGGACTAGCTCTTTCTCAGTGACAAGTTCACAAAATTAATATTGGTGAAGGTTACTTCATACAAAAATTACTGTAAACCACCGTACCAAAAAAACATGGTGACTGGTACATTCAACCAGAACTCTTTGTGTAAGAAAATACTGGAACCACTCATAAAAACAAGCAGTAAAGGTCTGAAAAATTTAAACCTTGCATACATAATGTTGTTGTTTTGTGAAATATTGCTTTCTACGATTGCCTTAGCCTAAGAGTAATAGTAAAATGCACAGGTGCCATCTTTGTCTGTGAGTGGATTGAATCTATTGGGTGAACACCAGAAAAAATAGTAATATTGATACAAATAGGCTGAGGGTTTAGTATAGGTATGCTGTGGTTTAGTTTTATCCTTAGTTTAATTCTTTTACTTTTAATAGAGGCCAAATTGATAGTGACACATCATCTCATCATAACTTAGGCTAGGAGCTAAATTTTATCTTTCTTTACACAAAATGCATTTTTCATTCATATCATTAACAAAACCAAAGGAAAATGATGTTTATACCAGGGACAAAAATTAAGCACAACATATACCTTTTTATAACTAGTGCATAATTCGCCAAGAAAATGTTTAGAATAGAGCTTACCACCTCATCAGCACTTTTGTTTTCTTTGCTTTGCTGCTGGTTCTCATCCATGCCTGTATGAATGATATTAAGTAAGGGTGAAAGGATTGGTATTTTCTAAGCAAAGATAGTTGCAGAGAGTTTCTCCACTAATATACAGATCACCAAATGCTCACAATGAATGCCAACAAGACCAAGTTCTTGCTAACACATGTAGGAGCAATAATTGCTAAAAGTAGGCAATAGTCTGTATTGAATTAAGTATTCATTTCTGCATGAATTAGTGTTTATTTCATTTTAATGTGTGTGACACATAGTTGAAAAAGTATGGATAATGTGGTAACATATAACATACATATTATTATCATATTCCTTATAATTTAATACAAGGGACTTTACTCGAAATTGATCAAAATAAAGAAAGTGGCATTTGTCAGCCACTGATTTAAATAGAAAAGCACTAATTATTAAGTGAAGAGTAATTTTGCTGCAATTCTGTCCCTTCTGGGTGAGCAAAGAGAATGATTTAATACATTAACCCAACTGTTACTTGTTGGGGAGCATTGGGAGACTGAGCACCCTATCCTTTATGAAAGAGACCAGATCTTCATCATACGAGTTAGCAGTTTGTGAGTTAACCTCCCAGGATATGTGATATTTGACATCAACCATACCAGAGGTTGAATTTTTGCGTAGTCCCATACATTTACAATGAATACATGTCTTCCACTGTATCCATAATAGCCATCATTGTAGGCACAATGAGATGGAGAAAATCACACATTTTTGGGCATTGAAACACCGAGATCTGCCCTGTTTTTCAATTATGTAACATCTAGTTTTACATGTCCCACGCAAAATAAAAAGATCAGCCCTCGACACTGAAGGATTCAATGAATCCAAGTTAGTAGTTACTCGCACGCTTCGCCATGCTGTCACATGAAATCTACAGTATTAAGCCCAAAACTTGAACGTGATCTTTGAAGAATGGTTGTAATATTTAAATTTAACAAAATACTAGCATAAAATGCAACCGAAACCTTACCTTCCTTTACTAGTTCCGACAAAAAAGCACAACTTCGATCACCAGCGCACTCCAAACCAATAAGGGAAGCTACGAGGCAATGTCATATTCTCGTCTTCCTAACCTTTCCAACGTATCGAAGAAAACTTCACTGATACTTCGCGCTTAAAAACGCAACAAGAATATTAATCTTTCAACAATCCGAAGTGTTCCAAAAGGCATCAAGGATAGCCCATGAAACAAGAATAG